GGAGTGGAGTGTTGCTGATGTGGTTTCGCTTCATCCGGACTACTGACTGTGCACCTTTAGCAAGGATTTTCCTGGACCAGGTCAGGAATTCCTGCAGACTAAAAATGGCAATTAAAAAAAAACACTTCAGTTGTCAGCGCATACAATGATCCTCTGAAACCTTAGTGATGTCACAAACAAATCTTTGCATTTCTTTGTGTTTGCAGGAGATTGACGGACAGGCGCTGCTGCTGCTGAACCTTCCAACGGTGCAGGAGTGCATGGAGCTGAAGTTGGGACCAGCCATAAAGCTGTGCCACCACATTGAGAGAGTCAAACTGGCTTTTTATCAGCAGTTTGCTACGTAGTTAACGAGGAAGGCCAATGGGACCTGATGCATCCTGTTCTGCATCTTCACCCTGAAAAAACGTGGAAGATGCCTTTTACTGATCTGTTTTTGTAACGTTGGGCTTTCTTTAGAATCCATTCAGACTGATGAAGCAACATTTCCTGATCGTTTTGGGGACTAAAGAGCAATGCAGTAGTCGAAAACATTACGTGTGTGATGGAACAGAGGAAGGGCGGGGGACACTTTGATGTTTAAATTAATCAAACTATAATATAAAACAAGCAAAAATAAAACAGCTATGAAAGATCAGATTTTAAGTTCAACAGGTTTGAAATAAATTGAAATAACATTTTTTTTATAACTCTACCTTCTACCCTCTGAATTGTTCAGTCTCCTAACATTTCTTGTCCTTCTAGAGCAAACAAACATCACTGCTACCATGGCAGACAAAAGCTTTCGCCTTTCATTTTAAGATGGATGGAATTGCAACTGTTTTTTTCTAATCTAGTCAACCTTTACTATTTATCTACTGATTTCATTAATGAGTGCATCTTTGATTGTGGTTACTTCTGAAATAACCAGCAGTTCTCTAGAAAAGGAACACACTGGAAGCTGTTTTGCTGCATTCCTTGCTGCTATTGTCAGAAATGTGTTTTGAATAATTGGTTGATCAAACTTGGGCCTTGTTTGCTGAGAAAGAACAGCTTAAAGATGAGTTAAAGAAGAAAATACACATTTGTAATAATGTATTTGCTTGTAAACATAATACATTTTCTGATCTCCTGTGAAATTGTTAAATTAGTTTTTTTTTTCTTTTTAAAGAGACCAAATTGTTTTTTTATTTTTTTTATATGTAAGAGTAGTTTACAGTATGGATTTTGTAATGTAAGCACAAGCAAAAGCGTGCTACATGGTGTTTAACCACAGTGCATGTGTGTGTACATAGTGTACATAATCAAATCTTAGCGCAACAGGGTGATTAGAAAGAAAAATATACTGTCTGCCAAAGAAATTTGTAAATTTTCAAAATTATACTGAATATTTGCACAAAATAAGCTAAAACTTTCTTACAAGAGGAGTAAAAAAATGTAATTTGAATGATATCAGCTAAGTAGTTTTAATAATTTGAGTTTTTAAATAATGCTTTTGTAATTTCTTTGCCATTTCATGTAGTGTGATTTAATGTATACTGTTTGGTTTTTGTGTGATTAAAAACAGCTGTTTACTGATTTAATTATTCTAAAAAGAACAAAACTTGTTTGAAGATTATTACTGGTATTTAAAAGTAAACGCAGCAATAATAAAAAAAAAATACTGTTTTGGTGTATGTTTCCCAGCATGCAGTTCGCGGTTACGTTAAGGTCACGTGACCGGCTGGTGTCTGCTATCAGCATGAGTGGGCGCTGCTGGTCTGGATAGGGAATAGGGAAGCAGCTGGATGGATACCCGACCTGTGACCTGCTTCTCATATTCGTACCTTGACAGTAACGACTTTTTCGGGGTGGTTTGCGGTTTTTGAGCTTCTTTTTCGACGCAGGAGACATTTAACTTGCGCTAGTTTATTTTTTGCTTAATGCAAACGAGTAGTTTGCTCAGAAGCTAGCGGGGTGAGTACAAGCAGCATCTCAGGCGCTGAACGGTCTATGACTGCAGGTTTTGTGGAAGAAATTCTACTTATTTTAGGCTAATATTTCTCGTTGCACGTTTGAGAGTTCTGTTTCACCAGCTGCACTGTGCATGCGTATGTTTTTAACATTAGTGTGTGTGTTTATGTTAGCTGCAAGTTCCAGGTGGTTGCAGGAAGCATCTCCATCTCAACCTGCAGCAAATAGATTTTTAAAATGCTGTACCTCAGTTTTGAATTGTGCAGACGAGTCTGTTGTCTCTTCCTGTTCAGGTAGCTTCTCGACATTCTCAGCAGCTATGGCCGTGTGGATGTGTGAAGCAGGAGTGCGGGATAGCACCATCTTCCACCGGACAAGACTGGCCAGCTTTTAATAAGCAGACCAAGTTCAGGAGTTTTTACCGCCCGGGTCCTCTTGCCTCTGAAGTACTGGAAACATGCCCGGAGATGTGGCGCTGGCAAGTTCAGGGGGAGCGGCTTTACCTGCGGGGGGTTCAGCTGCCAACACGTCGGCGTCCTCCAGCCCGACGCCGGGGAACGAGAACCGGGGCTGCGAGAACGGAGCCCTAATGGACTCCTTTGGGATTTTCCTGCAGGGGCTTCTGGCTGTGATGGCTTTCAGCACGCTAATGTGTGAGTATGCTCCAGAAGTCCTGTTGTGTGTCAGATATCTGACACCAGCTGCTGATGTAAGCCCACTTTATCCAATAGCAACACTGGATTAGTCAGAGAGCACCTAGATCTCGACAGCATCACAGCCACAACCCGTGAAGCTTTATTCTGGAAAGCATTTTTCAAACAAACTGATGTAATAAAGCACTTTACAATAGTTAAAGCAAATAAACATGTAAACAACATCAGCAGCATAAAAACACAAATATAGGGGGGGGGGGGGGGGGATTAGAAGTGTCATTATTTAATAAAACAGGTGTTAGATATCCAAGTCATTTCGGTCTAGTGTTGGATTTTATACTTAAATGTTTTAAAATTTACCAGACTGAGTACTGAGATTTTAACATTAATCTACTACTTTACTAATGCAAGATGCTGGGACATCTTCAGCTCTCCTTAAAATACATGAATGTGATTTTAACCAAGGGATAAGAACTCTGTGTTATAGAACATAAATGAACAGAGACAGTCTTATTATGGAGGAAACACCAGAGGCATTTAATGAGTCATTTTATTATATACCAAGAAAAGAAAACTGGTATTAAATTGTTCTAAATATCAACAAAAATACATTAAAATCAAATTAAATGATAAAAGCTTTGTTTTTAGATTATTTGGATACAATCGCTTTGGGCCTGCTAAAGTTATTTGAACTAAAACCCAGATGCTTGATAAAGCTTATTGTTTATTTTCTCTTAAGGTCTACTGTCATACTTAATGTTTAACCAGACATTTCTGTCTTTTATTGTAGCTTCATCTCCTTCTAGTTTCTTGCTTTCTGTGTGTGTAAACAAAACAATCCAATTCCAGCATGCATAAAATTATCACAGAAAGCCCAAAAAGCTGAAACCTGCTGAAAGTTATCATCTCCTCATTTGTTTAGGTCAGAAACACATTTGCATGTCAGTTACCAGTTCAACATGTCAAAATGGAAATAAAAGCCTGCCCTTGTTAATTCTCAGTTTAGGTAGAGAACTGTCTTTTCTAAACATTAATATTAAGTCCAAGGGGAAACATTTGAAACAAAGCTCAATGCTGGCTTATAAAAATTAGCTTTTAAAAAATCTAATGCTGACAGAGGTCTGGTGTTCATAAATTGCTGTGCAGGACACTACGTTAGGGAAGTAATAGCAGAGGAAATGTATTGTTTGCTTTCATTTTTTGCTTTGAAAGTTCCTTCGAACATGCTGATCACATGATAATTTACAGATTTAAGCTTTCTTTACGGACCAAACGTGCTTCAGTGGTGAACACAAAAGTTGCTTCACAGTCAAAAGAACAGTTTCCTTTTCTCGGGGTATTTTAAATAAGTCAGTTAAAACACAAACAAACTACATTTTTGTTGGTAATTAGGCTTTTTTCCCATCCTATGTTCATATTTGCTAGTTTTATTTTGTCAGCTTTAACTCAACAGTTTATTAGTCACAGCTAGAGGAGATGAAAATGATCTGCACAACTGCACCATCATCTGTAGGACTGTGCAGTTCATTGATTTTGTATTTTAATTCTGGTATCGGCTCCAATAACAAAAAACCTCAACATTATACGATCATTAAAGCAAGGGCGTGTTATTTCCCTGGTGATGGGGAGCAGTACATAAATAATTGCAAGCAAGCAGTATTTTTGTGTTTGAGTAAGATCATACCAACGGATGGCCATTAGGGTCAAAAATCCATGAGAGTACAACCTCCAGCAAAACGACAAGCGCATCAGACTCACACACAGATGTTTGTTACACATTAGTAAATACATTTTGTCCTCATGGGCTCCTGTAGATAAATAAATAGATAAATAAACTTTTACTTACTTACTGTAGAAGGAAACATTGTGTTGCCCAGAGTCTTAGTCCCACTCCATGTATTTTAGATCAGATTTTTAAGGTTATATGTTACGAAGCTGCCAATAGTTTTTAGCAACTGGGCATCGTTTAATTCATTTTTTACATTTCAATGCAAAAATTCAGAGCTCAATGGTAAAAACTACACATTGTCTATTTAAAGTTCTTTTGTTATATTTCACTTTACAAGAATACTCAATGACATTTTTTAATAGGACTGATTGATGTCATAAGAAATAATCAGCATTACAGGACCGACCTTTAGCGCCTAACACAATTTACTTTTCAGTTGCAAGAAACTTTGTTTCTGTGCTTTTATTTTGAAGGAGAGGATCGAGATCACACCCAGCTGCACACAGGGTGTGTTTAGTGTGAAGTCACACGTGTTGAGAGGAGTGACTGAGGTCATAGCTTCAAGCTTCTCCGTTAAAAACAAAACATAGAAAAAAACATCTCCTTCTGCTCTTTTACAACGTTGTTGGATGTTTATCTGCAGTCTCACAGGTTTTTAACTATTGTGTGTGTGTGTGTGGTCAGTGGCGTGAAGTAGAAGAAGGAGCTTAGAGCGTTGAAGAAAACAAACACCTATTGTGAAGAAAAGGAGAAGCTCAGTTTGTGTCAGACTCAGACGTGTAGCTGCATAAACACCCCTCTCATTTTTCTAAAACTCACAATGAACCAAGTGATGACTTAAAAGTAGAACGCTGTTTACAACTCAGACCAGTGTTTTCATGTAATACAGAATGTCTTTTTTAACCAGTGATGCTCTGCCTATATTTTAGACTACTTATTCAGCTATAATAGGCCATACCTCACTTTTGCCTTCTTCGAGAGAAAAATGATGCGATTCCTTTTGGTTTAATGAGTTTTGTTGGGATTCAGCTGTAACAAAGTCTCTGTGTGACGCTTTCTTTATGCAGTAAAACGCTTCAGGGAGCCCAAACATGAGAGAAGACCCTGGAAGATCTGGTAAGTCAGCCAATGTTAAAGTTCTGTAAAAATTGGGGATGATCCGATCATGTGATAGGAAATCGGGGAAAAGCGATGGCTTAGTTTTAAAGTCAACAAGTTCCTCTACATCAGCAGCATTAAAAAGAACTTAAGTAAAACTCCAGTGTGTTCTCTTTTTTTCTTAAAGCATTTCTAGACTATCGGATTGGGACTTTGTATCGACAGATTCTTAACATCAAAGGACTTGGAATAGAATCGAGAGCAAAAAAAATTGATCGGAACATCCCTAGTAAAAATGCATCTCTTGTCTGTGTCTCTGCAGGTTCCTGGACACTTCCAAACAAGCAATAGGGATGCTGTTCATCCACTTTGCTAATGTCTACTTATCAGACCTCACAGAGGAGGATCCCTGCTCACTGTGAGCATTTGTTTTTACTCCAAACACATTGCCAAGAAGCCATGGGGCATTTGAGATGTTTTAGTCTTTTAAATGTCACATCTGATTGTTTGTCCTCCACAGATACCTCATTAACTTCCTATTAGATGCCTCTTTGGGCATGTTGCTAATATATGCAGGAGTAAGAGCCGTCAGCGCTATTGTAGAGTGGTGGCAGTGGGATTCTCTACGTTTTGGAGAATACGGTAAATACTAGTGATGTCCAGTAGAGGGCAGTGGCTTTCCATAATACTGCAATGCTGCATTCTTGTACTACATGGGCTTTCTGTTGTGTTTTCACATATTTACACATCACTAGGGATGTAAAACATAATGACATTATTAATAATTTACTGTTTTCTTCTGGGGTTTAGGAGAGCCAGTGCAGTGCACTGCATGGTTGGGCCAATGCATCCTCTACATCCTCATCATGGTGTTTGAGAAAGTTTTAATCATGTTGGTTCTTCTCATTCCCCAGTGGAAGAAGGTAGGGAAACAATAAAACATGCAAAATGAGTGATTATATGCATGTCTTAGCAGGAAGGTTAACCAGTGGACAACAGATAAGAGAAGTCTTCTGAAATGAACTCTTTTGTACTTTATACCACAAACTAACACATACTTATCATGTAAACTGTTGCAGTTGTGAAATTATTTTTAATGATGATTTGTTTAATGTCAGCCCATGGCACGTTGAATGTTTATTATGTGTTTGTCTATGTCACAGCTGGCTCTCCTCAACCCCATAAACAATCCAGATCTGGAACTGGCCATCGTCATGCTCATCGTTCCGTTCTTCGTCAATGTAAGTCCGCTGTTGCTACGTGTTTCCTCACACCTGGATTCCACATGCCCCTGAAAATCCAACTCTGAACATGTCCAATAAGATCCGAAACGGTCTCTGTTCTCTTTCTTCTATACTAAAGGTTGTTTGTGGGCGTAATTATTAAAACAATGCTTCTCTGCCATGATGAGATATCCTTAAGTCATTTCGGTCTTGTTCTAAAGGAAACTCTTCATCAGCGTTGTCTGTGTTTGGTTTAGGCCCTAATGTTTTGGGTGGTAGATAACTTCCTGATGAAGAAGCACAGAACAAAAGCAAAGCTTGAGGAGAGAGAAGAGGACTCTCGAGGGAACAGCAAGGTTCGCTACAGACGAGCTCTTTCCCACGACGACTCCGAGTCAGAGGTGAGCCAGCTGACATTTAGGAGATGATTAAAGATCTCAAATCGTGGCTCTCTGTGCACCTTTTCTATACTTTTACTATACTGAGTAAGTTAAGTTTTGTCTTGTCTATTACTATTTTTAAGACTGATCATGTATTTATTTTGTAGATAGGTTTTCATTTGGCCTTCTAAAACATTCTGGCTGTTGGTACACAAGGCCAGGGTTAAAGCCCATGAGTCTTTGTGACTTTTTATTTTTCATGGTCTATTTTATGATATTTAGACACGTTACACTGAACCAGAATAGTCCAAAAACCGTTATTGTGGTTTGTGAGAAGAGTTTGTCATTGTCTAGAGCTGGGGGGTCACCAACCTGTGAGCCACACAACACGCTACCAGGTTGATACAGTACTGACGTTTGAACTAGAATAGATCAGAGCTAAACAAAGCTCTGTAAATCATGCGTAATAAACATGTTTTAATGTTTTTATCATATCATCAGACCCCGCCAAGGCTGCCCTTTGTCACCGATTCTGTTCATAACCTTTATGGACAGGATTTCTAGGCACAACCAAGGTGTGGAGGGCGTCCGTTTTGGTGGCCTGAGGATCAGGTCTCTGCTTTTTGCAGATGATGTGGTCCTGTTGGCTTCATCAGAATGTGATCTTCAGCTTTCGCTGGAGCGGTTCGCAGCCGAGTGTGAAGCAGCTGGGATGAGAATCAGCTCCTCTAAATCTGAGACCATGGTCTTGATTCGGAAAAGGGTAGAATGCCTTCTCCAGGGTCAGGGATGAGGTCCTGCCCCAAGTGGAGAGGTTTAAGTATCTCGGGGTCTTGTTCACGAGTGAGGGAAAACTGGAGTGTGAAATCGATAGGCGGATTGGTGCTGCATCTGCAGTGATGCGGGCGTTGTACCGGTCTGTCGTGGTGAAGAGAGAGCTGAGTCAGAAGGCGAAGCTCTCGATTTACCGGTCGATCTACGTTCCTACCCTCAGCTATGGTCATGAGCTTTGGGTAGTGACCGAAAGAACGAGATCGCGGATACAAGTGGCTAAAATGAGTTTTCTCCCAAGAGTGGCTGGGCTCTCCCTTAGAGATGGGGTGAGAAGCTCGGTCATTCGGGAGGGGCTCGGAGTAGACCCGCTGCTCCTCCACATCGAGAGGAGCCAGTTGAGGTGGCTCGGGCTTGTAGTCAGGATGCCTCCTGGACGCCTCCCTGGTGAGGTTTTCTGGACACGTCCAACCGGGAAGGGGACCTAAAGGTAGACCCAGGACACTGTGGAGGGACTATGTCTCTCACCTGGCTAGGGCTGGGGGTAAACGATTATTTTTAAAACGATTATTCTGACGATTATTTTATCGAATAGTCGACTATTCTAATGACTATTTAGAAAATTAATCTAATGATTATTTTTCTATTGCACAATTAACAAAAACCAGAAAATCTCAAATAAATTCCTCAAAAAAATTGATAAATTGTTACTGTAAGAGAATAAACACTACAGACCTTCCATTTTGTATAACACTGCTTTTATTGTGTTGCGGTTGGTTATGTTCTGGTGACATGTAGAACTTGGGAGTGCAGGCTGCTGCCTGAGAGGTGGTAGAAGATGGAGTGTCTCCATGCTGCTTTGTTTTGGTCACTTATGAGCGTGAGGCGAGTGGTGTTACGACCCTTCCTGGGGCGTTTGGCTCGTGTGCAAAAAGGAAGGGACAATAACGGGATTTAAAAGTTAAAATGATGATCAGGTTTATTTACAACAACAAAAATCATAAATCTTTCCATCCACAGGTTGGGAATAATAAAACTAATTCTGCCTGTGGGGAATTAAAACAAAGTACAAATAAGTAGGGATCCAAACTCTAAACTGGGTGGTTAAACCAAACTCAGGTGATATTTTAAACTAAACCGAAAACCCACAACACTCTAAATGTAATAAAAGGGAGATCTGCACCACAAAAAAGACGAACTCTAAACCAAAACGTAACAGCTTATCCAAACGCAAGAAGCTGTTAGCGAAGATGCTAACAGTAGCTTTACCAACGTTAAGTTCAAGTTACCACGTTTAAATAAACCAAAAACACCCAGCAGCAAACAGAACAGCACGGAGGAGAGACTGCTACCACCAAAACAGCTCTCCTAATGTCCGAAAGAAGCTCCTTAATGAAGGGAGAAACGCTCCCGGTGATTTTCTACATCTGCGGTAGACATGAAGCAGCGCATCTGACCCCGGAAATTGTTGTCCGTTGCCGGGAGACGAAGGGGCAAAACAGGAAAATAATCTAGTAGTGGACGGACGTTGTTCCGGGTCTTCGGTATTTGGCGGAGATGTTAGTGAAGGTAGAGAAGAGGGCGAACTAGAGGAAAAACAGGCAGATTCCTCCTCTATTTACAAACTCCTGGGGATGCAACAAGTGGGCGCGGTGCGTCGACTTCCGGATCTGACGTCGACAAATTTTTAGAATCGAGCCGTCGACGTCATCGATGCGTCGCTACAGCCCTACACCTGGCCAGGGAATGCCTTGGGATTCCCCCGGAGGAGCTGGCCCATGTGGCTGGGGAGAGGGAAGTCTGGGCCTCTCGCCTTGGGCTACTGCCCCCGCGACCCGACTCCGGATAAGCGGATGAAAATGAATGGATGATGGAATGTTTTTATTTTTAAAACAATTGTGATTTTTAAATTCGTGATTAAAAACATGGCAGCAGATTTTATTTTATACTTGTGCTATTTGGAGAAAAGGCCTGTGTGCAACCTATATGGATCCTGGGAACACCTAGCCTAAAATCTAGACCATCATTTGCTGAAGCAAATAATTTTGCTTTGCATACATTTCAAACAGCAGTTGATATATATGAGGCTGTTCCAGGCTAGGGGGTTTCAGGTTGGTTTAAGAAAAAACTTGAAGGGTTTTAGAAACATGCTGTCATCACCGGGCCAGTGGCGCAATGGATAACGCGTCTGACTACGGATCAGAAGATTCTAGGTTCGACTCCTGGCTGGCTCGAGTTTTTAAATTTGAAACAGAAGTTAAATGTTTATACTACAGCGGTGCTGCGAATAATAATATAAAAACACATATAATGGTTTTAACAGCATCCCGTGTGCAACATTTGGAAGTGTAGTATGCCCAAGGAAGATTCTCTCTCTCTCTCTCTCTATGCAGTAGCATAAACTCTCCTCGAGTCTGCTGGTGTGTTTAACAGACCTGTAATGTCTGCCAGATGGTAGCAGTTCAAAGAGGGGTGGAGGTGTGTTGTGAGGTTTGAGGACAGCTTTTTTCTCTGCAGTCCTGATTAAGTGCTGCAGAACCTTTCTGTCTGCAGCACTGCAACCCAGTTGGTCAGGGTGCTCCCTATAGCTGCTCTGTAGAAACTCGCACAGCTTTTTCTCTACTTGACTCCCGCTGGCCACTCTGAGACAGTAAAGGAGTTGCCATGCTTTTTTGACAACAGCTGTGGTGTTTGCTGACCAGTGGAGGTTGTCGGATATGTGGACACCCAGGAATTAGGGTTTTGTTTAAGTTTTGGGGGTCATCTGTATTTCCTTCTTGTGCTCAGACTCCATTGAGATGAGACCCAGAATTGTTTTGTCATCAGGAAACTTTTATTATGGTGTTGAGTGGGTGTGTAGGTGAGAGTTCATGGGTGTAGTTTTGATGTAGCTGAGGAAAGTCTCCTAAGACTTATTACTGGAATGATTGCTATTAATTAACATATTGAAGTACCAATTTAGCTAATTTGCCGTCTCTGACCAGCTTTTATTTTTATTTGACTCAAGACAAGCAACGGCACCATACATCTGGTTTCTGGCAGCTTGTAGGGACCAGTCTTGCAGCAATTTCTTGCCCTGTCAAGAAAATTTATGTTCCCTGACCGGGAATCGAACCCGGGCCGCGGCGGTGAGAGCGCCGAATCCTAACCACTAGACCACCAGGGACTGTGGAATATGTCCCAGATAAAGTTAGATGGGAATCCAAATATCAATGATATTTTATACAATTTTGAATAATTTAAAACCAATAAATCCATATTTTCCATGCTGACGGTTTGTTGAAGTGGTGGCTCCATATTACTTGTCATTACAGATGGCTGCCACCAGGGAGCAGCCCTGTGAAAGAAAACAACAGGAGCTTTGCCGTGTGCCTGTTGTTCCTCTGCTGGCTTGGTTCATTGAAAAACAGTCAGTTCTAAATAAAAAGTGGTCAGATTATATCTATTTTTTTATCCACGTGCATTAAAAAAATGTGTATCCTATAAACTCGTCTGTCACATGTGAGCTGACATGCAGTCAGCCTGATTTGAAGGAATATGTTTCCTCTCAACATTTCTGTTTTAATAATGATAAACATTCTCGCAAAGATTTTCTCTTCTTTTCTTGTGGTTTTATTTAGCTCACCTTCTTCTTTCTATTATAGAAATGTCTTTCATTTCTGTTTGTACAACTTGTTCGTGCACACCTCCGCTCCTCATTGTACAAGTATTATTTAGTGTGTATGACCAACAGTAATGGGAGCAGCTCAGTTTTCAGACGTGACTATGTGCCCACAAATAGATCAGCTTTTTATAGCCTCTGCACACACTTAAAGGAGGAGTAAACAGGTGAAATGTAGCCTAAAGAGTCATCATTATGATTCAATACAAACTCCAACACAGTGGTTCCCAACCTTTTTCCCAAGGGACCCCTTTTTTACCAGTAAAATTTTTGACGACCCCCTCCCATTCTCTCTTCCAGTACAAACATTATTAAGAAATGATAAAATTGTTCAAGCACATTTTAATATGCTTTGATTCAATAGATAGCAGTAAAAGTAGGCTCCAGTACAGAACAAAGCCATTAACATAACCAAACAGAGCGTAATGTGCTTGACAGTTTGTATTACTTTTCTGAACACATTGTTTCTTGTAAACACCGATAAATCAATCATTCCTTTCAATAAACGTTTGACACATAAAAAATACACTGAGCAAAATGTACTTAAATGTGTATATTACTGTTTATACTAGATTATTTACTGTAAAGGCTGTGATTAATCAACCAGTCCTATCTTTAATTAACTTTTGACACTTGAAAATAAAACAGTGAGCTGAGCAAAATGTGCTTAAAAGTGTGTTACTTTTTCTGTACTAATTATTTCCTGTCTTAATATCAGTAAACTTTTCACTCATGAAAAAAATGTGAGCAAAATGTAGGCTATAAACAAGTAATAAATGAAGTTTTAACCCCTTAAAGTGGAGAGGTCCTGGCGACCCACTGAGAGGCTTTGGCGCCCCCTTGTGGGGGTCGGGACCCCCAGGTTAGGAACCACTGCTCTAACAGATGGGCTGCATGGTGGCGCAGTGGTTAGCACTGTTGCCTCGCAGCACGAAGGTCGAAGGTTCGAAACTCGGCTGCGGCCTTTCTGCGTGGAGTTGCGTGTTCTCCCCATGCCTGCGTGGGTTTCCTCCGGGTACTCCAGTTTCCCCCACAGATCACAACATGCCCTATAGGTTATAAATTGTAAGTTGCTTTGGATAAAAGCGTCTGCTAAACACATAAACATAAACATTACTGAATCGAGCTAAAACACTTTTTGTCCATGTTTTATATTCATATTTCTCCATCTGTGTTTTTTTAGATTCTGTTCTCAGCAGATGATGAAATGGATGAGTCGGATGAGGACGATGTCCGTAGAATCACCGGTCTGAAGACGGTGAAGAAGAAAAAGCTCAGGATGGGGATCCCTGTATGACCTGTGTGCCTAGCTTTACTGCTAAGATGGGTTTCCCCATGTAGCTCTTAACCCCACTCACATTTCCTGTACCACACACACACACACACACACACACACAAACACCAAACTATAATACACTACTCTAATTCCATTTGTGATGGAGAACTGCTACACAAACCATTTCTGAACTAGGACGCTGCACCTGTCTGTTGCAATTAGCCATGACCTTTGGATGACTGCTGCACGTTGATGTGGTACTTTCTAGAATGACTGTTGGGTTTAAAGACGAGGACAAAAGATTCCCACCATAAACAAACATCTGAACCACTTACCGAACTATGTAATCCCAGATTAGGTCAGTTGGGCAGATATGATGCTCTCTGCTTTGTTACTTTGGTTACATTTGATACTGTAACAGGTTTTTCTGAAGTAACCATAGATTCTATGTCTGATTTGTCCTTTGTGTCATGTGTAGACATGCAACCATGGTGTGTGTGTGTGCGCGTGTGTGTGTGTGCGTGTGCGTGCATGCGTGTGTGTGAGAGATGGTGTGTACCCTTGTCAAATAATATACTAGCATTTATATCAGTGTTTGAACCTCTGCACTGATGCAGCTGTGACTCACTACAGCAGTTACAAACTTTATATATCTTGTATGTAATCCGACCTTTGTCAAAGGGAGCATGTTAATTCTTGTATTAATCTTCCATTTTGTCTTCTAATAGATTAAACATGCGTCTGTCCAACTCTTGAATCTGGATCTCAAAGACAACAACCTGCTGAGCTCACCTGCAGCTCATTACGTTTGAACAGTTTTGTCTCATTTGTCTTATTTTTCAGTTTTGAGTGTTTTTAGTTGTTTTATTCTTGGCCAAAAAGGTCGGTCTGCTTTCTCTAAAGTGTTTATCATTCCTTTATTCCATTTGGGCGTGTTGTTATTGGAACCAAATTCTGTTTTTGCAGTTTTCCAGTCTGGTGTTTGCTCTTCCTGTTTCCTGTGTGATTTTTGTTTGCCCTGAAACGTGCCTAAGTGCAATCAGCAGTTTGTGTTTTTTGTTGCTCTGTTTTTTTTTCTTTGGCAAATTTAAAGCAGAGCTCCAGATGTTCGAGCATAAAGCATAACTCAGCAGGCTCTGATGTTCAGAATGTGACTTGCTTAGACCTTTAAACTGTAAGTGGTGTGCGTGTGCGTGCGTTTGCGAGTGTGTGAGTGTATAGGACATGAGCTGAATACATGTGTACGTTGTCAGAATGACTACTGGTCCTGTTTAAAAAGTAAACTAAGCGACATAAACTGTGAAAACTGGCTGGGCTCATGTTTTCTATACTGTTTAGGAAAGTTGCTCAGGAGTAAATTCACTTCAGATGATTGCTACTGAATCATTTAAACGTTTTAAGGTCTTTTCAGGTACAAGTACAGTTGGTTTGCTTACATTTTATCTGTTTGAGTTATTTTGATGTAAGTTCTGCAGCATTTGTTGCTCTATCATTATTTTGCTCTACAGCATTTCATATTTTACATTCTATTATACCTACTAGACACTTTTAGGTTCACCTGTTTAAATGCATGTTCACACAAAAGGTAATAACCTTTACTTGGCAGTAACTCAGTATATTTAGACATCTAGATGTGGAGAAAACTACTTGCTGAAGTGCAAATCAGGAAAATATCAAGAAAATATGAAACAAGAAAACAAGGTTTAAAGGTCTAATTCAGATTTAAAGGTCTAATTCACTCGTTTTTTAAATAATAATTGTTCATGGTATGCAAACGTATCGTCTCTGATTGGCTAACAGCAACGCAACTCTTCCCCTGCCTCTGTTTGCTTGTTTTTCTTGGGTAAAAAATGCAACGTTTGTGTTTTCTCAGAAATAACACAAATTTGAACATGTTGTTGTGAAGTTGCTATTGCTAATGATAGCTGCTATTTAGCCGAGACATGCTCTGCTCTCTCCTGGCTGCAACATCAGCACAGCCTTCCATGGTTGCAAACCATGGTGGATTAAACCATGAATGCAGATTTTCTCTGTGTTGTAGAAGTGTTATGTTTTTTTGGACCCGATCGTTTTACCTTCCTGTTGATGATGCATTTGTTGTAGGTTGAAGAAAATGTTCACGTTCTGCATGTGATTCTAAGTCAGAGTGGCTAATCGTATTCCGCTAATCGAATGAAGTATTACATGGGTTCTCTTGTGAATGACACCTTTGGGTGACTTTGAACATAACATGGTGCAAGAGTGACTTATATTTCTGAAGCAGCTGATCTATTGGGATTTTCGCCCACAACCATGTCTAAGGTTTACAGAGAATGGTCTCAAAAAGGGAAAATATCTAGCAAGAGACCACAGAAGAATCGAGGGACAGGTTCTGACAGATGGGAAGTAGACTGCAACATTCAGATGGTTGGGTTGGAATTTGGTGTCCGCAACATGAAAGCATGGATCCAGCCTGACTTCCATCAATGGTTCACGCTGCTGGAGGTGTCATTGTGTAGGTGAGATGTTCTTGGTCCACTATGGAGTACCAACTGAGCCTGGTCTGGGCATCGCGCCACAGCCTACCAGAGTGTTGTTGACCCCTTTATGACACAGTGGACACATCTGCCAATGCTAGTTCCAGCAAGATGATCTCAAACTGGTTTCTAGAACATAATTACTTCACTAATTTCTTTGGGATGTGGTTGAATGAATGAATGAATCATGGATGGAACTGAGATGCTGCCATGTCATTCAGCTAGTACTAAGGTGTACCTAATAAAGTGTCTAGTGAGTATGGTAGATTTCAATAAGTAAATTTGGTTTCAGAGATATTTGGAAGAATCTGTGTGATTGAAGTTATTTTATGTTATCAGGGTTTTAGGGTATTAAAACTGAGTTTTTATTCAGTGTTTGACAGATTTAATCTTTTTTTAAATAAATCTAAAAGGTTGGAGAAAAGGTCTGAACTAAACAATTCTTGCGTGATCTTCCGACTGTGTCCCATAACAGCTTGAATGAGTGTGCTCCCTGTGAGATTTGAGCCTTCACCAACCCAACCTTAAAAGAAACTGTGAGTCAACAGTGGGTAACACCTATTTCTTTCAAAGTCTGAGAATAAAGTCATAGGCTGTGTTGAGATCCACTCACAAAAACATGACTGATTTGATAGTTTCATTTGAACAGATGCAAAACAACCAACACATAAGGAAAATAACATTCAGAAATGGGTTGGAAGAACAATACGCATATTTCATCCCACCCGTTCTGTACCAGTTAACGGCTAATAATCAATTCCACTAAGTCAACCAAGAAAAACATAACATTGTATTAACCTCATATTTGTTATGTACCCATTAGATAACTCATTACCAGTACGTTTTGGGAGAAAGCTGGGCACTTTTCCTTTGGGATACTTTATGGTTCAGCCCTGATTTTTCTTATGGATGCGTTAATTGTCTGGAAATGCTACCCACAAACTCCAAGACCCAAAAAAGGAATTCTTCCTGGCTTAAATTGATCCTGTCCTCCATAGCAGGAAGGCATTACTGGGTGGTGGACGTTTTTCATTTCTGTGCCCAGTCCCATTTGTGTCCAGAATTATCAGCTGTTGGCCCCTCAAGTTTATGAGGGACCCATTCCAGCTGTACTATCCCTCACGTCACACCTAATAATACACACTGACAACAAGCAGGAGTGTCACTAGGACTATATATAATGTCAGGCTGTCTGGTTGAAAAGACAGAGCAGAATAACAATCAGCCCATCAGTTAGGCTGGAAAGAGTCCCTAACCATGTCACAGGTACGTTACATCATTTGTTTTGATTTTGTGCAGACATTACCTCGTTATTAAAGGGTTACTGCTAATTTCAACATAATCACCATTTACTGCCCTGCTTGTCTTTATTGTAGCCAGGAGAAGTAAAAAAGAAGAAGCGACCACCAATGAAGGAAGAAGATTTGAAAGGAGCTCGCAGTAAGCTGGGGCTGAAGGGCGAGGTCAAGAGTAAGACTTATGAGGTCATGGCAGAGTGTGGTGAGTAAAGTCTGTCGTTTATATTTTATTCATGACAGAAACCTAAGAGGAAATGGCTTAACAGGTCGAGCATTTCAGTAGAAATACTTCCCCTCAGTCTGGTTTAAAAATGTGTACATGCCTAAGATGCGTTACTTCTGGTTTTACAAAATCAGCTGCAGGTACTTTGGAAAACATCATACAAAAGGAAACATTTATAAGGGTAACACATTACAATGACCTCGTGTTTTTGATCCTAATCACTAAACCACCAGGGATACCATGAATCATCATGTCAAACACTTATATGTCTCTAGCTAAAACACATTTCGAGGTGTATTTCTGTCATCGTGTTAAACACAATAATTGTGTGCAGTTGTGAACTGATAGTCAGGAGCACTATAACGAAAGGTTCCTGTATAGGTCAACTAGACCGTCTGGCTTTCGAGATTAATGTTTTTTTTCGCCCTCTTGCGGACATAATTTGTTACTGCAGGCATTGTTCATAAAGCTAAACAAGACATAACTCATTAGCACTTCCTGTAGATTGCTTTCAAAATAATATACACTTTTTAAACATTACTACGGGTTTTATTGTTAGTCTAATAGAACGTCTTCACTTATACAAACAACTTAACTAATACAAGACAATAAATATATGTTAATCATCTATGTTCAACAAGATTAGATCAATGAGTGAAAGCAGGAGCTATTAGCAGCTTGCTACAGCCTTACAAACATATACGCCCTCTGGTGGCCACAAAGTGAAACCAGGGGCACCT